TGGTCTAATTGTAGGTACAATAGGTAAGACTGTTGGAGATTGAGTATGTGAGGAGATTGGGGTAATAGAATTTTGAGAATGAGCAGTAGGGGAGGGATGTGCAGTAGGGGAAAAATGTGTAGTAGGGGAAGGATGTGTAGGAGATGAGAGGTTGTTTAAAGTGGGAGGGAGAGTTCCTGTTTGTAAAGAAGGTAAAGAGTTGTGATCAGGAAAGAAATCATCAGAGGGAGGAGGAAATAAAGTAGTAGGACTTTCAGTGGCTGTTTTGGCAAAAGGAAAAATAGATTCATAGAACTGAACATTTCTGGATATCATTGTATTCTTGGTATCCAAGTTGTAAAGCTTATATCCTTTACAACCTAATGGATAGCCAAGAAAGACGCATTTAGATGCTCTTGGGGCAAATTTAGATCTATGAGCAGTGAGAGTAGATGCATAACATAAACAGCCAACAACTTTAAGATGATCATAAGTAGGCAGCTTACCTTATAGCACCTCAAATGGGGACTTACCTTGCAGAATTGGTGTAGGCACTCTATTAATGATATGAGCTGCAGCTAATACACAATCAATCCAAAAGATTAGTGGCAAATGAGCATTAAAAAGTAAAGCTCTAGCAACTTGAAGCAAGTGTTGGTGCTTTCTTTCTACCCTGGCATTTTGCTGAGGGGTTTCTACACAACTCTTTTGGTGAATTATCCCAGTTTTGAAAAAGAAGTCATGCATGAAAAATTCAGTACCATTATCTGATCTCAAAATTTTGATTTTCTTATTGAACTGAGTCTGGACCATATTTGAAAGTTTCTGGATGCATGATGTAGTATCAGATTTTTGAGATAAGGGATAAATCCATGTGGTTCTACTATGATCATCTACAATAGTAAGGAAATAATTGTAACCATCATGAGATTTAGTATTGAAGGGACCCCATATATCACAGTGTATAAGATCAAAGCATTCAAAAGCAATAGATGTGCTCATAGGAAAACTCAATTTCTTTTGCTTAGCAAAATGACATACATCACAAGGTGTGGCTGTCAAAGTATTGTAATCAGAAAAAGCAATAGGTAATTTTGACATTCTAGTATATGACAGGTGACCAAGTCTGTTATGCCAGATGGCAGATTTCTGAGTACAAGAAGTGTTTGCAATTACAGGTAAATGAGTAGGTACATTGGAATTATTATGAACAGAAGTATGGGAAAATGTAGATCCAATGTGCAGATGATAGAGACCATCTTTCAGTTCAACAAAACCAATCATTTGCTGAGTGTTCAGGTCCTGTAATATGCAACATGATGACATGAATTGAGCAGCAATGTTGTGTGATGCAACCAGTTTTGAGACTGAGATGAGATTGAAGTGAAAACTAGGAACAAATAACACATTTGTCAACTGAAGTTTGTCATTGAGAGTGACATTGCCTATGTGACATGCTTGTGTGTGTTGTCCATTTGGAAGATTGATATTAATATGCACAGAAGTAGGACTACTAGAGAAAAAGTTAGTATCACAGATCATGTGGTCAGTGGCCCCTGTATCTAATATCCAGGAGTTTTTATGCAACACATTAGCAGTCACACAAGAGTAGTAAGATATACCTGCAGCACTTGGAGCAGCTGATATGGCAGAGGCAATCATAGGAGTAGTATCAGCCCCTGTGATTTCCTTGCTTTGTTTAAAAGCTAAAAACTCAGCAAAGAGATCATTAGTCATGGAATTAGTAGAATGCTCAGTGGTGTTGGTATGCAGGATGTTGGCAGAAGGTTGGGGAGGAAGTCTGGGGCCTTTTGGTCCAATCCAATTGGATGGATAGCCAATGATTTGGAAGCATTTGTCAGCAGTGTGGCCATTGTAGCCACAGTGGGAACATTTGGTTCTTTTCTTGTCTTTGTTGAAAGGAGGTTTGTTGAGTGGGGGTTTGGTTTGTTTAGGGGGATATGTGTTTGTTTTGAGTAGCATGGCCATAGGATCAGTGATGGTAGAATTGTGAGTGTTCTTTGGGATTCTTCTTGAAGGAGGAGGGAGTAAACTTTGGATAAGGTGGGAAATGGTGTAGATAACAGGAGATGGCTTCTTATAGAGGAGTATGAATTATCATGTAAGCCAATAAGAAATTTCATGACAGAGTCTTGATGCTGTGCAAGGGACATGGACTCAAATATATTACAAGTACAGACAGAAAAAGCCCCACAAGTGCACCTAACAACTGGCCTATATGTCACATACTCATCCCAAAGAGCCTTAAAAGCATTGTAATACTGAGTAATAGATAATGCACCCTGATTCATTGTACTAAGTGATTTCTCAATTTGAAAAACCCTAGGACCAGTGCTAAGTGCATATCTATTACGCAACTCATCCCAAACTTCCTGAGCAGATGTAAAATACAACAATGACTGACGAATGTCCTTACAAATGGAATTCAGAATCCATGAAAGCACAAGGTTATTAGCACGTAACCAAGCCATAAACTGCACAGTGTTAGAGGAAGGGGGTGGAACGATTGTACCATCAATAAAGCCGCCCTTGTTTTTGACGCTGAGAGCCATGGTAACAACACGGGACCACGAGGTGTAGTTGTCGCCATTGAAGGTCTCTGCGACAATTAGGGCACCAGGATTGTCCGAAGCATGGAGATAGAACGGCGTCGAAGGATCGTCAGACGGTGATGTCGTATTGGCCATGAGATCAAGTGAACATAGATCGACGGGAGTAGGTCGATGTAGAACAGAAATAGATCGGAGTGGATATAGGGTTACGAGTTTTCGATCGAAAAACCCGTAAGAAGTCGGATTTGCAGCGGAAAAATGAGAATAAAATGAGGATCAACCAGCGAATGATACCATATTGAGATTGAATCGAATAATCTGAGTGAATTTGAGAGAAATCGAGAGAGGAGATTGAGAGCTAGAGAGAGAAAGAAGATGAACCGTGATGCGGCGAGAGAAAAGAAAAATGCATAATGAATTAATTAGGGTTTGTGTACAAGATAAGGGTATTTATACTCTTACCCTATAAACACACTTTGTCTAAGTTGCTTTAGGAATAGTAGCAACTTATATACATCAAATAGTAATAACAACTCTAGTACAATGTATAAAATACAAATAGCAATAACAACTCTAATTCAATCTATAAAATACAAATAGCAACTCTAATAAATTGGATGATTACAATTAAAATTGATCAACTAAACATGTCACTCATCATGAATTCAGTTAGGCTACGTTTGGATTGAATGATTTACGGAAAAATTTGAAATCTATAGATTTCAAGTTTACAATTTCAAATCCTCCTGCATGATATGATGATGATGATAGAAGTTGAGGTTTGATTTCAAATCCTCATGCATGTTATGCTGATGATAGAAGTTGAGGGATTTCAAATAAATGCTAGATAATTTTTAGTCATTATTTTGAAGGATTTTCAACGACTCTTCAAACCCAGTCTTTTGAAATACGTTGTTTATCACCGTTGAAATACATTGAGATTTTTTTTTTTTTCCAGTGTGGGCTCCTCCCCTGGCTGCCACACCAGACTGCCACCACTTCGTCAGACTCCACCGCCACGGAATAGCAACATGCAGCTCGATCCACTGGTGAATGATTGAATCGACGGATGGGGTCGATAAAATTGGTGTACATATTTATCATTTGCTTGTGTTTTTGTAAATACAGAGTTATAAGAGGTTGCTGCCTAAAGTTATGCAGCCGTGGGCCGTGGCTGATGTTTGGCCACCATCGATGGTTTTTTAACTGCTCTTTGGCCGTTGCAGGTTGTTGATACTGCTATTTAATTTGTTATCGTTATTTTGAGTCATCGAAAGACTTTGGCACTTGATTTAAATTGCTTTATAGAGTAGTGATTGCAGTATAGTTAAACATTTATGGGCTAATTCATTTTCTTTTGTAAATGTTTGTTGGCGTGATTGGAGGAAGATGATTTTTATTGCATAGTGTAATAGTCTTATACGTTAATTAATGGGATTATTAGGCTGTAAGGGTTTCACAAGTGAATTTTTTCCCCAATTACACAATGTTTATCAGCATGTTTGCTTACATTTGGTTCTGGGGATGGTAGCCTGACCGGCCCTCGTGCCTTTTGGGCTCACGGGCTGAGCTCAATCTAGTAAGAAGTTAAATTTGAGATTTTTTTATTGATTTGGGCTGGTTTCTTCTCTAACCCATAATTTCAAATTGTTTGAAATATTGAGTCTTTCTTATTGAAGTTTCAGATGAAATATCTGGTGGAACTTAAGCAGATCTTAAGGGAAACTCACCTTGAAAATAGCCGGAAACGGGAACTGTCCAGCGCCCTTCATACGTGTTTTAAAGAATGGTTATATGGTAATGCCTTCACGAAACACGGAGTTTCTAAAATTATATCTGGCATTTTAAGTCATCTATTCTTTGTCATTTAGAAAGTAGTCTCGTGTCTTATGTTCCTTTTAACAGCAGCTAACGAGACTGCTATTTTGAGCGGTGATTTGAAAAGCAGTACGCTCTGAACATACTGCTATAAGATTTTAGGTTTCTTCTCGACGTACATGTTATGTTTTCGTACTAGTTTTATGTGGCCTATTCCCAGTGGCGAATCTACATGTATTAGTAGGGGTCAGCTGACCCCTACAGATTTCAAAATTTTTAGTATAAAATACTGTTCAAACACTGTTTACTAGGTTAATGACCCCACTAAAAAATATTGCTGACCCCGGTGAATGATGAGGCTGGCTTCGCCCCTACCTATTCCATTTGGTTATTCAAGTACAAAATGGTGGATCTATAGAGTAACGCAATATCCCTGTGGAGTGTGGACATGTAATAGAGATACAAATCCAGAAAATTTTAACACTCTCAAACTTATTAAGTCTCAGGGGATCAAATAACAAATACAGAGTCTTTGTTTCCACTTAAAGAAGCAGAAAAATGGAAACAAGGGCATCCACATAAAATGTCTGACAACATTCGATTAAACTTTTATCGAATTTGCAAGCTTTTTCAGAGTGACCAGTGCATATGGTGATCTGGGGAATCAAACCCCCTCGACTGCTCCATCTCATCATGGTAATGCTCACTGCTCGACTGAGCCAGTCCGAGCCTACCACTAAACTGACTGTTAGAACTCTGAGAAAATGCAGCTAAGCCCATATCCGAACTCATCTCTTGCACAGGGCCGCCACTGCCTTGATTGCCCTTGAAACTCCACGGCCCGCTTGGAAAGTGACCAATAGCAGAATTGGGGTCCACAGACCCGATAAAATCGTTTGTGCCGAAGCCTGAGGCTTGTGGTTGGGCCCTCGGGCCCCAAGATGTGTTTGACAGAAGAGAGAGAGCACCAGGGTTGGAATTCGAAACCCCATTGAAACATCCCTCTGGAGGTATTTCGGGCCGTGGGTTCGGGCTCTGGAGGAGATTAGTGCGCGAGTTGCTCGGCCACGAAAGATCATACTTTTGGGGGATGGCTGATTGATTTCCTAGGACTCGCTCGGAGCTTATGTTCGGCCACGAGTCTCTTCCAGTAATGTTTGATGAGTAGCTGCTAAAGTCCATCACAAAACCTCCTGTGGTGCGGCTATGGTTATCTGCCCACAAAGCCATTAGATGAAAGACTGTGATTTACTAGTCTTTCGTTGCTGCAGATTGTTACTTGCAAACAGCTCAAAGAAGCACGAAACATTTAAAAAATACGAGTAATCTTGAAAACACAAGGACCGTTTTGAAATAAATTGTAAATTGAAGGGTGCGTCTAAGTCTAACCATATGTGGAAAGCGAGCCATAACGTGGAGACATGAGAGGTCCCGAGGGAGGCTTTCTCCTTCGCTCGTTATGCCCGGCGAGCCGCCTCCGGCAACTCCGTTTTCCTTGGTCGAATTCCGGCAGCTGATGGAACCTACACAAGAGGATATAACCGAATTCCAATTGTTACCCAAAACCAATAAAAGCTTAAGAAAAGGTCAAGTATATCGTGAGCAACACAGCCAAAATGAATGTACAATTTCAGAAGTTTACTCTAATAATCGCAAAAGCAGCACAAGTGCCATCGTAAACTGTTACATATACACCTCCCCAGGTTTGTATTTAACTAAGAAGCTCTCAATTCATCGACTCCGAACGTTAAAACTGGTCTTGTTTCGTAATTAAGCTAAAAAATCGGGTCTTCTCTCAGTAAGGTCTTATATTTACACTACTGGTGTAAAAAAGCTAACAGATAAACTCATTTTTGTTCCAACATCGTGAGAAACCACAAAAAAAAAAGATATCATTTCATAAAAACACCAAATCGTTAATCAAAACATGAAAAACAAAGTTCAGAACAAAAGGAAAGTATCAAAAAAAATCTTAATGAAGACAAAGAATATGACAACAAAACAGCGAAGACTGTTGATTGATTATGAGAGAGAGAGAGAGAGAGAGACCTGCTGCACTGCTGGCAAAACCTTTGCTCAAGGCCAGCAACAATGACTGTTGGAGACTTGGAGTGGACACCACAGACCTTGTGCCTGCAGTAATAAGCTTTAGCACCACTCAGATCTGCCTGGCACCCCTCCACTTGGCACCGAGGCGGCTGCCCACCCTGCGCCACCGCCATCCGCCCCTTCTTGGCCGGGGACGTCGGCGGCGCGGCCTCCTCCGCCTGCAACCCCGACCCCGCCCCGGCAAAGTAGATTTTCTTTCCGAATTTCAAGCCGTTGACCGAGTCGGCCCCACCACCCCCTGATGAAGCAGAAGAAGATGAACCCTTTTCCATTTTCCCCTGGTATCTAAAGCCCATTCACTATTTCACATGCATAGTCATGTTCTAAAGAAAGTAAAAAAATGGGGGCAAAAAAAGGAAAGCCGTTAAGCCCAAACAGGCAAACACAAACACCCATTTCAATTTTCAAGTACAGTAGTAGAAATAAGTGTTCATAGTAACTGAACAAAGATTCGATTTTTATTTCCTTTTTACCCACAAAATCTTTGAAAAAGGGGAAAGGTAACACTTTCTAGAGCAGTGTCTGCAGAAAAAAAATAAAAAATAAAAATAAAAATGAAGGGCTTGTAAAAAAAAAAAAAAAGAAGAAGAGAACAATAGAAAGGATTTTCAATATGGGCAAAATTTGGGGTGCAGCAAGTGAATTTTTAGGTGAGTATAGACATATTATATGGAACAGAATTCTTGTTTGTGGCAATTCTTGATTTCTTGATATGGGAGTGTGTGTGTGTGTGAGTGTGTGTGGGAGAGTGGTGATGTGAAACAGTAAAAGCAGACACCTGACAAATGGGCCATAATGCCAGCTTGGGGTTTGTGCAGAGAGAGAGGGGAAAGAGAGTATTTTCCTTTCTCAAGTGGTGTTATTCAAAATAGGGACTTGTGTGCAAAATAATACAGTACAGAGCCAAAGGTAGGAGGAGACAGTGTATTTTATTTTTTACATTTTTTGTTGGTAATGAATGCTTTTTGGGAGTTCTCCTAGCAGCAGCTTTTTATAACACTGCCATCAAACTCCAACTGTCATTTTTTGTGAAGCCCTTTCTCCTTCTCTCTCTCTCTCTCTCTCTCTCTCTCTCTCTCTCTCACACTGAATTGAAAACTGGGTATGGCTAATCCCTTATCCCAATTATGGCATACACAAAAGCTTTCATGTACCTATTTTGCCATTGTGATTTATGATTCTGATTTAGTTTGATTAATTGGTGTGACAGTTAAAATCTGTTATATAATTGCTTTATTGATATTTTAGTTGTGGTAATATTTATAGGCTAATGAGAGCAGTGCTACTATCGTGGGCACACTTTGTTAGGTGTGCCAAGGCACACCTAAGTATTTGCGTAATGAGAGTCACACTCACACAATTGGAATTCATTGACCAGTGTTTATAAAGCTATTTATTTATAGATAAATAATTAGAATGTTGCTACTACTAATACTACAATTTTATTTTGTTTTTATTTAAAACTCTTTAAAGATGAAAATATGTTCACAAACTTGTTATTGTAAGCATTGTTCCTTATGGATAACAACATATTGAAGCAAAGGCCTATACATTATACACAGTGTATGAAGAAGAATCAAAGAAGTACGTACCATTTTATAATAAGTACTGCAATGAATAAACAACAAATACCATATAAACCTTAGTTAAAATTCAAGATAGCTTATTTAAGCTTCATATATACTTCACTAGTTTGCAATATTAAATCATCATCAAATTTTATTCTTTTAACTATATTAATTTCTCCTCCCTGAAGCCAGATACTAAAGACAGGTTATATTGGGGACTTGATAAGAAAGGTAAATTCTCAGTCTCCAGCATTTATTCTCACTTAGTGCAGCAGAAAGTTCTTTCTCTTGATATGCCTGAATGCAGCACCTCTCTGATCCCTATGGCCAAATCTCTCTCTAGAAGCTGGTCTCTTAAAATCCCAGGCAAAATCAAAATTTTTATCTGGAAATGCCTCAGTGGTGCTCTGCCTACTCTGATTAATCTCAATAAGAAAGGGATTGCTATTGACTCAATCTGTAAATGCTGTGGAGATGGGCAGGAAACAGTTGAGCATTTGTTTTTAGAATGTAACAGAGCTAAAAGAATGTGGGAAATTGCTCCTGTTTCCTGGAATAGCTTGCTGCTCCAATCAGCCTCATTCAAACACTGGTGGCAACAAATCTGTTCCTTACCTCAGTCTGACACTTCCAACTTCAGAATCCAGCTCACTACTTATCTTCTTTGGTGGATGTGGAAGACTCGGAACCTTTGGGTATTTCAAAAGACTCTTATGCCTATTCACATTGTGGTGAAGTCAGCTCACTTGGATTGGCTCACCTACTGCAAAGCTCTGGACTCTTGATGGTTTTTTTTTTCCCTTCTAGTTTTTTTTGCTGTTCTTTGATCTTTGGGATGTAGCTAGGCCTATTGGCAGTGGTGTTGTCCTATTGATTGCTTTTGTTTGATGTATTTGTGAGTCTCTAGGCCATTTCTTAATG